AGGAATAATTGCAATTAATAAAAGCGAAAATGTCTTAAAAGCATGAAACATCGAGGATATAACTATAAAGTATTTGAATTTCCGATTCATCCCTTTACGATGAATTAAAATAATTTTTTTAATCTATAGTTTTAGAAATAAATAACATGAAAGTTTTATTTGACAAGTAATCAGTTTTTCGAGAGCAAGTTGAAATTTATCTGAAGGATTTTCCATTAGCTCTGTTAACAGAGATATTAACGGAAGGAGTTAATTAAAATTCTTTTAAACATTTGCTAATAATTGATTGATTAAGAAATTGTTTAGTGGTCAAACCCAGATATATATATATATATATATATATATATATATATATTTGACTGGGGTTATATTCAATTTTTGGGCCATGGCATGCTCACAAAGATTCTTGGCAACAGGTCAGTCAGCGTTCTGAACAGAAACCCAACGTAATGCAAGTGGCAAAAACAATGGACCCGAAGAACTCCTGTATTTTTTTATTTATTTATACAATATATTTTATACTAGTTTGCACAGGCTAAGTTTTTATAGTTGGCTTGCCCGTATTAAGCCCCTATATTTTAGACTAGGTTGCACGGATAGTTTAGCTCTATTTGTTTTTATATTTTAAATATATTTTAAAATTTTATTTTTTAAAATCAATATTTTTTTATACTTTTATATTCTGATATTAAAAATAATTTTTTAAAAAATATATTATTTTAATTTATTTTCAAATAAAAAATATTTTTAAAAAACAAAATTAATAAAGGATTTAATTCTCCAACATAGTTAAATTTTAAATTTATTTTTTATAAATTACTAGTTGAAATAATATAAATTTCAGGATTATTAAAAATTTATTTAATTAAAAATTTTAAAATTTCATTAATTAATCAAGCTAAATATAAATTGATCCCAATATTTATAGAAAATTAGATAACAGAGGATTTAACTCCTGTATTGATTAACAAGCATAATGAATCATTCCAGAATTGACAATTTTTTCGAGCGTGAGTGCGGACATCACTCCTTCCATCGAAACCATGCTCAAGCGGGGCCTGTTCATGCCGGAGACTAATTAAATGGAAGGAATAAATAAATGACTGGACAACAAGAAGGTACTAGTTGCTATTGTCATTACCAGCATGCAAAATGAAGCCAGCTTCTAGTAACCTAATTCACTATTAAACTAAATTAAAAAAATAAATATATTAAAAAAAATAAACATAATTCAAAAATATAATTTTGAAACCGTCCACCCGAAACCGATAACTTCGATCTGAAAAACCCGACACTACTAGAATTTAGTAATCTAGTTCTTCATGACAAATGATTTTTAATAAAAATAATTAATTCAATTTAACATGATAATCTAATGATTAAAACTTGTTTATTGTATCAGAATTGAAACCAACTATGTTTAAAAAGTGTATATATATTTTGAATCTGTGTCAAATCAAAGCCAAGTTCGTAAAAACATGGCAAGGCATGCTTGCCGGCAACCGCGTACGGTTCCCGATTAAACCATATTAAATTTATAATCTCATATGATAGTGCCTGATCATTCTTGTCATTTAATATAAAGTAAACCCCTGAGCAGCACCAGTGATCCAATCTAGTCAATGAACAAGGGACAGTGATTCAATCCTGTGTCAGCAACAAATTACAAAACACCGACGAAGATTCCCTCTTACCACGACGAATCCATTTATATAGGGTACGTACATTTTGGTTATCTTCTGAAATGATTTTTATTTAAAAATATATTTAAAAAATATGCTTTATTTTTTTAAAATTATTTTTATATTAGAAAATAAAAATGGCTTGAAAACATATAAAAAATTTAAAAAAAATAATTATTTTTAATTTTTTAAAAATTATTTTTAAGACACAAGAATAAATAGATAAAAAATATAGGCATGCTTTGAACTTTTCCCATAGCCTTTTAGCAATGATTGGAATGACCTTTCTCGAAAGAGTTTTTTTTATAATACTTTATATCATTTTAATATGTGGATATTAAATATAAAAATAAAAAAATATTATTTTAATATACTTTTAAATAAAAAAATTCTTTAAAATGTAACCTCAATCACAATTTAAAGCATGTACTCTAAACAAAGCCCATTAAATAAAGTCTAGATTCGTCGTTAAAACAGAAAGGAAAAGCTTGGCGTCGCCCGGACTCGAACCGGAGACCTTCAGTGTGTTAGACTGACGTGATAACCAACTACACCACGACACCATGAGTGATGAGCTGTAATATATTTTTATAATAAATTATTCATAAAACAAGAGTAGTTATGAATCCTTGGACAGCACGCATTGAATTTAGAGAAAATGAGGGGAGACGGTGGCATTAGGGCTTGAGACGGCCGCCAATACAGGAAAGGAAAAGGAAACCTACTAATTTTATGATTGGTGGGGTTTCACAGATCATTGTTGACCTATCGTTCCCACTCTTTTCCTGAATTTTAGGCGTTTGTATCCACTACAAATTCTCTCAATATCAATCACTTCCCATTCATACTCTCCTTTCCTCCATTTCTCTCTAAACTTGATTTTTCTGGAGAAGGGGATTTCTCTGTTTCTCCTTCTCTCTCGCAATTCTAGCATGGCTTCCTCACGATGGATAAGGCCTGAGGTACGTTCTTCCACCGTCTTGTTTCCGTTATGTTCCGGATAAAGCGAAAGAAAAAAATAAAATACTAAGCCTTCTTCATGACATGATGTACAAGGATATATATGAGTTTAGTTTACTCCATAAAATTGTTATATATGTGTGTGTGTGTGTGTGAGAGAGAGAGAGAGAGGAGAGGTTTAGGGTTTTTAGATAAAGAAATATGAATATAAGCAAGTATTTTTCTTGTCTTGTTTCATGACTAAAAAGATTGGTTCTTGTAACAGGTGTTTCCACTCTTTGCATCTGTTGGAGTAGCAGTTGGTATTTGTGGCATGCAACTTCTTAGGAATATAACCACCAACCCTGAAGTAAGGTAATGCTATGCACAAGGAAGAGGCTCGAACACGCACGACACTTTTGGATAGAGTGTTGTGCATTAATTGGATCTTGACAATCAATTTGATTTTATGAATAATTGCTGTGTGTTTAGGCTGATTTTGTTATTTATATATTATTGATTTGAATCTGGCGGCGGTGGCTCAGGGTGACGAAAGAGAACAGGGCAGCAGGAGTGCTTGACAACTTTAAAGAGGGCGAGAAATATGCAGAACATGGTCTTAGGAAGTATGTCCGAAAGAGAACTCCTCAGATCATGCCATCCATCAACGGTTTCTTCTCAGACCCAGATCTTCCAACTAACTAAAACCCGCTGACCACTCTATTTTGGATTGCATCTTTTCAAGTTTGAGATCTGGAGGAAGGAAGCAATGACAACGCTATTCATTTATCATTTGCATAGGATAAGGAAGAGTATGATTCATTGGTTGTTCCATCTTTTTGTTACTCTATCTCAATACTATTTAATAATAACAGAGTTCATCTTCTAATCTCTTTTCTTCTCTAAGTTTTTCTTACCATCATACTGATTATTTCTTATTATTAATTATGTATCCCTGATGTCATTTTGCTGTCAGATGTTCTTGCGCGGTAAGTGATTTTCAATTTCGAATATTACCATTGTTAATCCAGTACAAAATTCAATCATTATTATGCATGCCTGAATTGGCTGGTGTCTCCACTGAGCATGAAACAAACTAGCTCTTCACCAGATGAGCATCATTAACCCCTGGCTGCACCAGCAGTCCTGGTCTTTACCCTAGCACATCCATCTACATTGATGCTCACCCAAATCCCAGGTGGATCAGTTCAATCGAGCAAACTTTCACATGTTGCTCCGTTCTCATAATTTAAGTAGACTAGTGGAAATTACTGACAAGTTTCCTGAAATTGACATCATGCCATGATGAACAATCCGATGACTTTTGTTGTTGCTTCTCGGCGTTGCATTCTCAATTACTTAAGCAAATATTATGGGTCACAATTTACATCAATAAGATATGCATACTGGCTTTTCAGTTCATCCATTCGACCGAGGTTTTTTGTAATATTTTGAAATAAAGAGATTGGAGAAGGCTATAAAGCCCTTGAAAGCTTAAATATAAAAATAAATAAATAAAGAGTACTGTAGTAAATAAATAAAAAGTTGATAAATATATATATATATATAAAAAAGAGAGAGTGAGCTGTGTTCTTTTAGAGCATCTCCAACCCGGAAGGTAAACGAACAATCGAAAGAAAAATATTGTACTTTTAGCTTTTTTTTATTTGTTTCTGTCCATTCCAAGCGGGTAGCTATATTGATAACTAAAATAGTTGTTGAAGACTGTAAATGCTATATCTACATTTCTCTGTAGCAAAAGGCAAATATACATAACAGTGCTGGTTACTGTTTTTTCTCTGTTGATTTATATCCGTTGGCCAACGTATTTATTTTGTATCAGTTGGCCAATGTTAATTTTTTTCATTTAAAAGCAGAACAAGTAGAAGGAAGAAAACAACATTTAAGCAAAACATAAGGAAAAAAACTTACCTGCAAATTTCACTCTTCTCTCTAATTTTAAAAAATATAAATTAATTATTCTCTGATTAATTAATAATATTGATTAGGTTAATTAGCTGAAATCAAAAGATATATTTGCTTAGAGACTGTTTTTTTTTTTACATCTCTTGATTTTTATTTGCTATTTATAATGATTTTTATTTCTTTGTTATTTTATATTTTTGATATGGGTTAAGAAAGATAATTTTTATTTATATTGTTATCTTTGATAAAATTGAAAGACAGTAATGATAGTAGCTGATATTGATAAAAAAATGGATTGATATATCTTAAATTTATTTTTGATTGTCAATTTTAATATGAGATCAATTATATTTTTTCTTGTTAAAAATACAACCAAACCAAGTGATTAGATTAATTGTATGATTAGATTAATGTTAGAACAAGTAGAAGACAATTCTTGTTATTAATTCACATGTATGGAAACTATAAAATTGCTAGACATTGAATATGAGCTTCCTTTAATGCGAGTGTTTTGCTTCTTTTCTTTTTTTTTTTAATGTAGATGGATTCAAATTTTCCTAATTTTTTTACCAACTTTTTTATGAGCAAGTTAGAAGATATTCTCTTTCAACCAAGTGATTTTAATCAATTAATTAATGACTTAATATACCATAATTTAAATGTCAATACAATAAAAAGATCACAAAGAAGTAAAAAGTTCTCATCAAAAAAAGATTGTTTACTTGTCTCTGCATGGTTAAATACAAGCAAAGATCCAATTGTAAGAGTTGAATGACAAACAAAACAATTCTGGGCTCACGTTCATGCTTACTTTGTAGAGAATGGAGGAAACTTGAATAATCATTCCCAAATAAGCATCTCAAGTAGATGTCAAGAAATAAATAGAAAAGTCAGTAAATTTGTTGGATTTGTTACTCAAATTGAAAATCATCAGCAAAGTGGAATGACTGAAGAATCAAGAGTAATTTTATTATTCATTTCCATGTTAAATTAATTAACACATATTTTAACATTATTGAATTTCTTTAATTTTTTACTAGATTAATGATGCTCGACAAATATATGTTTCTAGTGTTGGCAAACAATTTCAACAAGAACATTATTGGGTTATTTTATGAAAAGAACCCAAATGATAATTTGAACGTGCAAGTCAACATCAAAGGTCAAACAAGAAACAAAAAAGTCATGTCAATGCAAGTCCGGCTTCATCAACCCCATATACTCCTGATTCTGTTAGTTTAAGAGAAGATAGTGAACCATTGATTTACCAAGATAGACCAATTGATTAGAAGGCTGCAAATGAACGACTTAAACGTAGACAAGAAAAAGATAAAGTTGGAGAGGTAACTGTAACAATTCTCTTACAACAATTTAGGGATACTCTATTTGAAATTGAGGATAAAAAGAAACAAGACATGAAAGTTATGTTAGAGCAACAAGCCACAATAATTCAATAAAGTCAAGAGAAACAGGAATTGGACAGGATTGAGAAAGAAGAACAAATTAAGAAAACGAATATTTCTAATTTGGATTTAATTTCTGCAGTTTATTTTCAAAATAGAAAGTTAGAAATTATACAAAAGAGGGGTTTTAATTTTTAATTAACTTTGATTGATTTATGTAATGTAATGTATTTTTAATTACATATATAGAAAATTCTTGGTTACTTTAAATATATTGTTATGAAATTAATATGAATTCATAATACTTTTTTGAAGTTTCTCTGACACTTAACAATAATAAGTAGGATTAATTAACTTAAAAGATAATAACCATAATGAAGAAAAAAACATAAAAAACTTGAAAATTATGATAACATAAGAAGTTCAAATCTAAATATTTTGCTCGTTGTCATATTGTTCCCACAAATGTTCAATCAAATTTTCTTGTAGTTAAGAGCTAGTTACTCTATCCCTAATTTGATTATGAGTTTGAAGAAAATCATGTAGTTCAGGTATTTCACCATGTGACACTGATATAAAGGAATTGACTTCATGGTTATTGTCAAATCCAAGGTTCATTCCTCCTTCATCCTCAATAATTATATTATGTATTATTATGCAAGCTTTCATAATATATGTAAGCATTTCTTCATCCCAGTATCGAATAGGTCCACATACAATTGCAAAACGAGATTGAAGCACTCCAAATACCCACTCCACATCCTTTCTTGCAAAATTTTGCTTGCTTGCAACATATTTTCTCTTTGCTCCTAATTGTCTTGGGATTGTATTAACAAAAGTTGACCAATGAAGATAAATCATATTTGCTAAATTGTATTTCATTGTATATTCATGCTCATTAATTGTATAATTGATATGAGTAATACGACCTTTAACAAATGCAGTGAAAATAAGTGATTGATCAAGAATATTAATATCATTTAATGATCAAGACATTCCAAAAAAGGCATGCCATATCCAAAGATCTTGTGAAGTCACCGCTTCTAGAATTATAGTTGGTTCACGACAATGACTAATATACATCCCATGCCATACAATTAGGCATTTCTCTCATTTTTAATACATACAGTCAATGCTCTCTAATTGATAATAATCGACAAATATCGGCCTTATTTGGTGCTCTTAGATATCAATCACCAAAACTTCTATAATTGCTTTAACGAAAGCTCTAAGACTTTTTATTGTAGTGATTTCTCTAATTCTAAGATATTCATTAATAAGATCAACAGGAATACCATATGTAAGTATTCTGTGAGCTGGAGTTACCTTTTGAAGGCAAGATAAACCAAGAACACCAAGAGCATCTGTTCTTTATTTGAAATATTGATTATAAGCTTCCACTACATTTACGATCCGAAGAAAAAGATGACGACTCATCCTAAATCTTCTTCGAAATTGACTTTCAGTGAATTTAGAATTTTCAGCAAAATAATCATTATATAACCTTAACTCACCTTCCTTTCTATTACGATTGATAATATTGTGACTAAGAATAGAGTCACGATACCTTGTTCTCCACCCTCGATTCTTTGATTTTTCTTCAGCAACCATAGCGGTAGCAACTTGAAAAGCGAACACAGGAGTGTCATCATCAAAATCAAAAGCATCATAAAAATTAAAATTAGAATGATTCATTATGAATTTTAATGAAATATAACAAAGATTGGAGATAAGAAAATGACAAGAAAAAACATGAAGGTATATGAGAATATTTATAGATGGATTGTTTTTTTAAATTTTAAAATCTTAGAATGTTGGAGGTAATTTTTAAAAATTTAAAATGTTGGTGGTTGTTTTTTTAAAATTTGAAATTTTAAAATTTAAAATGTTGGCGGTCATTCTTTCAAAACTTGATTTTTTTAAAAAAAAAAATTGAAAATCAAAATTTAAAATGTTGGCAATTTTTTTTAAAGTTAGAATTTGAATTTACTTTTAAAAAAAATTAAATTTTTAACAATAGTATATAAAACCAAAAATTAAAAATATTCATATAAATAAATTTTAAATTATATCTTTTAACTTTCATATTACTTCATTAATTTTATATTACATTTATAAATTACTCATATTACTCATATAATTAATAACATCTTAATTATATTATATATAAAATATATAAATTAGTTATATAATTATATTAAAATTAATTTAACTTGAAATATATTAAAATATAATTAGTTTTTCTAAATAGCTTTTTTATCATTGGAATGTATATAATAAAAAAAGATATATTTATACTATTCAAAAAGTCATTATATCAATTTGGCTCTTTAATATAGCATTTCCCAGGGAAAAAAAATGTGAGAGGGAAGGGAGAAGAAGAGAAAATAGAGAAAGATAAGGAAGGAGAAGGGAGTTAAAGAAAAATAAGTTAAAGGGGTAAGATTTATGCTTTAATGTGTATAATATGTTTTATTGAACTTTAAATTTTAGTTTTAATGAATTTTAGGGTTTTGAAAATTTTATTTTGGGTTTGATTGATGAATTAATTTGAATTTAT